GTTCCCGTTTCAACGAAATTCGGATCCGAAATTCGTTAACGGAATTTCGTATTTCGGATACATTCGGAAACTGCAATTCGGATGCTTCCGAATTTACGAATTTCAGGAAATTCGTACGAATTTCGATTCGTAACTAAACGAATCGCACATGTCTATCAACTGACTACCACCTTGCTCTGATAATGCTTGTAGTACCAATATTGTTCACCAGTTGGATTCATTAGCATTGCAGGATGGCTAAATTAATGCTATGATTCAGTCTTTTTCATTCACACTGGGGTAATTAAAACCCCCATATTATAAAACCAATACATGTGTAAAAATTATATCCAAATTTTATTATACAGTAATTACATTATATAAAAGAATCGATTGTAATACATACGAGTATAAAAACAACCAATTGGCTAAAACACACACAAAGTGCCCAGGATATGCCCAACGTCAACCAGTTATATCTTAATTAAATATCCATAATTGCAAACATAATTGTCATTAATTATTCATTGTTCATTTACTGATTGTCATTAGTTTTTCATTGTTCATTTACTGGAACAGACATATCCGGGCCCCGACACGTTTCGCACCAAGCTTCTTCAGGGGACCACGAGGGGCTAATCTAACAATAATAATAACAATTATGCATCAATTGATTTAATTGCATCATTCAATTCATTAATAAATTAATATAACATAAATTAGAATGTTTCAGCAATCGGCACCACAGGTATGAGGCCCCCCGAAAGGTGGGTACCCCGTACTTACCAAACAACTAACGTCTGGAGGAGGACAGATATTTCCGGATTAAGAGAAAGTGATGGCGGCCTGAATCAAACCAGCCCACTCAACTCCGTCCGAGACCATGCCAGGGACATTGGGGCCACGGGAAGGGGGGGCCATCAAGGACGATGCCAAGGACCCCTATCACCTAGTCTAGAACAAAATTATAGGGGTAATGGAATCAGTATGGGATTCTTCCCCCCGGTATAAAGATATCCCACCTATGTATACAAGACATTGCTAAAAGTCTATATAAAGTGAGAGATCAAAATACAAAATCCATATCTACAAACTATTCTCACATTGGTATCCCCCTAATCCTCAAAGCTAATAGGTATTCCCTTCAACTAAAATCCCCACTTCATACCAAATTCACAACCCTTGTTGGCAAGATTAACCTATTGGGACCTATTAAGCCAAGCCAATATAGGGGCAAATATATTTTTGTTAACCATATGATCAATATCATGTTATATACTTTACTATATCTGGTTTATATCAACATGTATGTACCAAAATAATGCTTACACAGATTAATCCCATGCAGGATCTTTGTTAGATATATGAAATGCATCGCCTTTTTTATTTTATTATACAAAAATAAAATTTGATATTTTTAACATATCTCTCTTGGATGGTCAATCACACCTCTCCAGAAACCCTATTATCTTTAGCCTTTTCATTAATGTACCCAATTTAGGGGGAGAGGTGTCAACTAGATGCCCACAGGGAGACAACCCACGATTTTTAAACAATTTTTTTAATCAATTTAATTATTTTTAGATTTTTATTTATCTTATTTACTTTTTTTTTCATTTTTTAAATCTTATTATTGTTTTGTTTTTATAATTATTTTCTTATTTTTTTAATAATTTGTTTCTTATTATTTTTTACTTTTTAATCACCTTTTTTTAAAAATTATTTCATATTATTATTTATTTATTTTTTAATCAATGTATTTGTTTTTTTCCACCTAACTTTATTGCTATCACAAAGGAGAAAACAATCCCCTGTGTGATAGCAATTGGAGGTGACAGGTTCTCTTTATTGACCCTGTCACCTCCAATACAGGAGTTCTAGCACAGCACTGTGCTGGAACTCC